TCTTTCTTTCTTTCTTTCTTTCTTTTCGCTCACTTGAAACCACACGTCAAAGTGTTTAGGTCGGCCCCACGTGAACATCGCTAAAATAAATGCATTTTCGAGGGTCGACCCACCCGAAGAGTGCGCGTAGGGTTCACTTTCCGAAGGCTTAAGACTCCTTCGAACTCGCCTCCGTACAGGCGTCGTCGTTTGCGCGCGCACGCGGAAGAGCCTTCTTCAGACATAAGGCCACCGTTTGTTGTTGTGTAGCTCGTTCAGGATCACGCACAGGTACATGAATGCTAAGAGAGCGTCGGCTCAATGGATCCCAGTACTAGGAACGTTGTTCTAAACTACCTTTGAGCAATCAGATGCAGTTGCCCGGCTGCACGGCCCTTCTCTTTTGCCTTGCTCCCAGAGAGTATGGTCAGCATGGTCCCGGCGCGCTTGTCTCTCGTTGCCCTTTGATTTTCCCAAAGGGCTCACGCAAAAATGGCGCAAAGACCGCCCTTGAACAAGACGAGCCCGGACTGTCTTGAGGTGTTGTTAGCCGCGCTACCCGCCAGCTAACATCGCCGAGGGCAGCTGGTTCTTGACCGTCCGTCAACGCATGGCACTTTGACTTCAAGAATGCTGCCAGGCTACTTCTGCAGTCTGCAGTTCAACCCGTTTCAGAAAATCTGGGCGGAGTCAAATCTGAGAGATGCCCTTGCAGTTTTTTGACCTGGCTCGTTTTTCCGAGGTCCAACCCCTTTCACTTCAGCCTGAAGCAGCCGGGGCCCTTGACTTGTACAGCAGGCAATGGTAGACCCCTGATGGACAGCACCTCAAGTGATTCCGGTCCAATGGCATCTGCCACCCTGCTCGCTGAGCAAGACGGTTTTGCCGTGGTTGCGATGCTCCTCATAGTCCTGAGATCACATCCGCACTCAGGGCAGTTCTTTTGAAAAAGCTTGCAGGCCAAAGCAAAGGAAATGAAAGGCCAGCAGCTGCCCCATGCCGCGAGTCATTGATTTTTCTTATTTCCCTTGGGCGCCCCTGTGGCAAAGTCGATCCCTGGTTTCACCGAGGCACAATTGGGTATGCACAAAACCAAACATTTGGAGGCGTACATCTAGTTTAGATACACACCTAGCAGGCCAGGAGCCCTCCCTTTTCCTGTGAGAGGCAGGTCCGTCAGCATGAGTCTGACCATGCGCAGCTTAGGCTGGAGCAGTTTGTCCACCACAAGCCGCAGAACTCTTTCACCTTCCTGCGCAGGTCTTGGCAAGCCATCTTGGTTGTTGACTACCCTGCAGTCCATTCTGAAGGCCGAAGTTCTTTGAGGGACCATTGTTTGGAGCAGCGTGGCAACTTGTTTTCAGGCTCCCTCCCCCAAAACTGGGCAAGTCCTCGCTGAGACTTGCATGCCTAAAGATCACGGAAGTGAGTTTTCCGGACCGACTTTTGGCAAAGCCAAAGCTGAAAGGACACATGCACAAACTTCTGGACTTTGTTGGGCCACAGATGCACGCACTTCTGGCATTTCGGGCGCATTCGGACACCCGCGCGCAAGCTGAGGTCGATGTTCAAGTGGGAGCCGCGGAAAAACTGGGAGGGTCTCTTAGCCTGCCTGGCCTGCTTATACGCGAGTGTTCATCGGTTACGCGTAAGCTGCATTCATTTCGGGACGACATGAACCATATGGGTATGTGTCAAAATTCAACCACCAAGGGACAGATGGCTTTGGTCCATGTTTCAACTTACTGGGGTTCCATTCGAGGTACCTATTTTGGACCCACAACCATCCCTATCAACCGTCAACCAGCCCATCAAACAATTAAAACTGCTGAAGCATAATGCAACATGCAGAATTCGGCGCAGAAAAGTAGGCACATGCACACGGCGCCAGGAAAACAACGACAGCAAAGTTGTTTTTTTTTTTTCCGTTTTCCCACGGGAACTTGGCAATTCAGTTTTTTTGCTGTTTGAACAGCTCAAGTCTCCAAGTAAGGAGGCACTCTGCCGAGTGGATCCCCGCTGATTTCCTGCGCGTGCACGGGGCTCGGCGCGTTGCGTCACGCCAGGGGAGCTTCATCGAGTCCTTTCCAGACCCGTACACGTCCAGAGCCCAGCTGGGAAGATGTTCGGGAAGGATCCTCGTTCTTTGGAAAGGAGCGGGGGCCAGGGGAAGCCCTGCAGCTCGAAATTCGAAACCAGCCTCGTTCTGCTGGCTTCGCTAGCGACTAGCGCCAACGTTTGGCAGGCTGCTGGCAACGCCTGACGGCCGGCAGCTCAACGTGCTGCGGCCCCAGCTAGGGATCCGCTCGGTCTGCGTGGCCGGGCGTCCGTCCGAGTAGCATCGCTTCAAAAAACGATCGTTGTCCCAAAGGGGCTGATCTGCCCGACCTTTGATGTCCAGGTCTTTTGGGCAAGCGCGATGGCAGAGCTGTGGGCCGTGGGTTGACCGGTGTTGGTCTTCCCGTGCCAGGTCGGTGCGTCTTCTCATCAAGACCCAGTCTCTCAGCTGGTCCACAGACCCCTACGTGGAGCGGTTGGGGACGGTTCGGGGCGGAGGCGTTGGTTCAGAAGTGAAGGCGCAGTGCGGAAGGGGCCCTCTGCATCTCAGCCAGCATGTGGCATTTGGAGTTTGCAACGAGCTGCGCTGGGCATGGCAGTGGCGGAAGTCGGGTGGTCTAAAGCAAGACGCATCGAGGCCTCAAAGACAGATTAAGCACGGGGTCTCCCTTAGTCAAATGTGAGATGGGGCTGTCAACGACTACATTTGGCTGGCAAACCTGACTCGTGTATGTTTTTTACTTTCCCTGTCGGTTTAAAGTAACACTGCAAAGACATATCTTCTCATTTGTCCAGGGGGCGACAAAGCAAATTGAAGCAGCCGAGTTTCTTCTCACCGGGTCTGTTTGCCCTGCCGACATCGGAGGACATCCAGGAGCTCCTGCACCGGATGAAGCCCGCAGACCCCACCCTACAGGCAGACTGCCAGGGGGCGTGCGGCGTGCGGTGGAAGGGGTGACAGACCAGCTCGGCTCCCTTCAGTTTTTTTTTTCTTTTCGGGAGGGGTGTTTCCATTTTGGGCATTCCCCATTTCTCCAACACGCGGCTTCCAACTCAAACTCCTGCAGGCTAGACAATGGGCCCACTGTTCAGGCACGACTTTCAAGGAAGCCAGAACGAAAGCAACCATACAACTTGATGAGCGCCGGTACCTTATAAACATCGTGCAGAAGCCCCAGCAGAAGACTTGCAGAACTAGAATAGATGAGAACTCATCCAAATCCTGCTCGCTTCCGCATGCTTGTGATATGACGGCTGAGGGGCGCATGCTCTTCATCGACCAGGTCCTGAGTTCCAGAGCAGATCTCAGGATGCAGGCTGCAACTCCACATCTACCTTGTTGATCGTGGGCGAGTGCCCGGTCCAAGAAAATACCGGGATGAAGACCCGTCTGGATTTGTGAGTGGTGGAACAGTCTGGTTGGTACATTGTGTAACCTCCTACCTCCGGCGAAGGTCGCATCCTTGACGTGCGTTTCGGTTTCTTGACGTGTGTCCGCTCTTTCGGGGCGGGCGCCGTTCGGGCCGTCCATTTCTGGTGCCTGGTCGAGGTGTTTCGAACACCCGTGGGGCCATGGCCGTGGCACCCCGAGGTGAGATCCCCCCGCTGTGCGGAGCCCAATGGGCGTGACCTTCCCCAGCCCGTAGTTGAGACAAGCCCATGGCGTGTCCTGTTTGAAAGGGAGCCCTTTTTGGCAGTTTACAAGGGAAAGCGAGAGGAACCCCCTTTTTTTTTTTTGGGGGGGGGGTCCTGTAGAAAAAGACACTCGTATTGCGTGCGGTTCTCCTGCCAAGGCTGATGTCCCTGAGGTAGGATCAAATAGTTTGGAGTGCATTCCCGCCAACTTTTTTGCGAGCGTGGTTTGCAGAGGACATTTGACCTAGCCAGCAGGGTGGGCGGCCCGGGTCAACAACCAGCACGAACCAGGTTCGTGGCATGGGTATGATGAGCTTGGTGGTTCCTTCCAAAACCATCCCACAAGTTTGTGACATCCCATGGATCTTGAAGAGCGCCCAAAGATCCATGTCAGCTTCCGGGCGGCGGATGCTTCTCCTTTAGTGCCGAATTTCCCCAGCAAGCTCAAAGCAGAGCGGAACCAATAAGTGTGGTCGATTCGGCAAGAGAAGCGACCAGCACGGGCCACTTGGGTTCGCTGGTTCTCCGGTTTTCTTGACCTGCCACCAGCTCTTGTCGTCATGCTGGGCGCTTAGGTACAAAGTCGCAGACGCCTTTGTCCTGCCGCTGCCCCTGCGCAATGGCGGGTTTGTTCCAAGGTGGGCCAAAGGTCGTTTCAGGATTCCGCAATGAATTTTCAGATCGCGGCTGTGTTAAAGGCACCCAGTTGCCTCAGCCCACCCGAAAACAAAAATCCCGCCTGAAACCAACCCTTAGCCAACCCAACACCTTGCCTCATGTAAATCAGCCTTTGTGCACCTGCCCACTTGTGCGCAGAGCCTGTTCATGGTCCTTTGCGCTTGTGCTCAGAGTTCCATTTTGGAGGTCGACATGTCAGCATGCGTTGCCTTGGGGCTCCGGGGCCCCGACTTTTCGAGGCCAAGCCACGGCGAGGGCTGGGGCTTGCCCATCATAGAGGCCCTGCGTTTCCCGCCGGGGTGGCAGGCCTTCAGATTTTCTACTTCCCACGAAGCAGGGAAAGTGCTTTGCGCGTGGGCGTGTGTGACAATGCACAACACTGAGAAAACGAAGGGTGTGGCACTTTGACTTGCCGTTTGTCCACAGAGACCCGCCATTTGCCACCTTCAGCTGGCAGTGACCATGCGTGTGTTTCCTACCATGCACCTACCATGCGCCCTAAAGTCCAAATTTGAAAGTGCGCTTGCTTCACTGGGGCCATTTGGCCATGTGGCAATCTGGCTTGTTCTAGTGGTGTCCCTCTAAATCAACGTGAAAAGGGCACCCTCAAAACCACAAACCATTTCTTGTCCGTGCGGCCGTTCTGGTCCAGGGCCAATGTGAGCCCAGCCCACTTTCGTCTGATCCTTGCGACCAGGTGAGAGCCGCCGAGTTTTTCGGCCATGGGCAGGGGCCAGAGGCAGACACTGAATTACGCGAGGCTACAGCTGGCAGATTCAGACGTTCCAGCACTGGGTCTGAAGCAAGCAGCCACTCATTATGGGGAAGTTGATGTTTCACAGAACCGCCTTTCTGCAAAGGGGATCGAAGAGGTGGTCAATTATTGCATCCGCTGTTCAGATTTGCGCGTTCTAAAGGCATACAAGAATGAGATCGGGGATGCGGGCGCTCGTCACATTGCCCGGCTGATACGCAGGTGTCGGTACATCGAGGAGGTCCACCTGTCACACAACCAGCTGACTGAAGAGGGGGTCCGCGTCATCATCGAGGCGGCCTGCCCCCGACCGCAGCAGGCGAGCCCTTTGTGGCTGCGCTTGGAGCGCAACTGGGTGGCGGAGCCCGCGTCTTTGTTGCAGGAGCTGGTGGACCATTCCAGCGTCTGCGGAAGGACGGATGAGCGGCGCTGTACCAACCGGCACTGCGCCTGGAAGCGTCAGGTCCACGTGCCCTTCCTGCACATGCAGCGGGAGGTGGTGAAGGAAGAAAATAGGCAGAGCAAGATCGTGCAGACTTTGTTCCGAGAGTATGAGAAGACATGTGCGGAGCCGGGTCTGAAGGAAGAGGTGGAGTCCAAGAAGGCTTCAACGCGGACGGGAGACTGGCAGGCGGAAACGGAGCCGGCCAGAGATCCCAAGACCCAAGCGAAGGACCGTTTGAAAAAGGAGTCCCAGAAGGCGCAGCTGCTGACGGACACCCGCAAAGAGGCGAAGGAGTCTGAGAAGAAAGCCAAGGCCAACGCCGATTTGCAACCTGCCAAAGCTGTTTGGGAGGTCCGCCTGCGCACAGCCGACGTCCGTCCGGAAGCCGCCCAGGAAGCCGCCCAGGACGGCTTGAGCGGCCCGGATGAAGCTCAAAGCTTGGGTTCTGCTCCAAGCCTTGAGCTGGAATTCCTGCTGGCACACAGCTGGAGGCTGAAGACCATGCTGAACGCCAAGCAGCAGATGACCGGGTCGGAAGATGTCGCTTGGCTGGAGGCGTGCGTCCGGCAGCTGCATGCCATTATGGAGGATCTGGAGCCCGAGCGGCAGTGGAAAACTGAGCCTTTCGGGTCCATGAAGACTGGCTTTTGTCTGCGCGGCTGCGACTTGGACATTGCAGTTCTAAGTGGAGTGCCCGAAACGGCGATCAACGACAAAGACATACTCGCGAAGTTGAGCAGCATCCTTGCACAGAAGCCGGAATTCAAGGTCAAGCAGGTCGTTCCGTGGGCCAGAGTTCCAATACTGAAGCTGGAGTATCGCGGGCGGGATGTTGACATTTCAGTGAATAACTTCAAAGCTGTGGCCAATTCCAAGCTGTTAGCTGCCTATGCCCGCCTTGACCCCTTGATTCCGGAGTTTGGGACCGCTGTGAAGCTGTGGGCCAAAGCCAGTCAGCTCTGCGGCGCGTCCGAAGGGAACCTCTCTTCATACGCCTTCATCCTCATGGCGGTCTACTTTCTGCAAGTTGCAAGTGGGGACGAGTTGCCCTGCCTCCAGGACGAGCTGCCTTCCGGCTGGGACGGGGACGACCAAGCCCTGGACACCTTGGCCAGGGAGCAGTGCAAGAACTGGCGGTCCTCATCAAGCCTTTGGACGCATTGCCGGATTTAGCGACCCATTCCCTTTTGAACGCGTCCCTTACCAAACTTTTGGGTCGCAGCCTCGGGCCATCGGGTCCGTCTGGTCAAGGGTCGAAGTATCGGTTGGGTGGGATCCAAGGATGTACCTGGCCGGGTTCTTCGCCTTCTACTCCAACGCGCGGGGGCCCTTGGCGCTGGAGGGCTACGAGCCTTTCCGCTGGGGCGAGGAGGTGGTCTCCGTCCGCTTGGGCCGGCGGTCGCGTCGACTCACCGTGGAGTCGGAAGAGTTCCAGGAACTCGGCCGCCGGCAGAAGGGAATCCAGGTGGTAGGTTGGCATCAACCTTTTTTTCTTCATCCTTTCTTTTTTACAATGAAAGCAGGGAAAGCTCACATCATTTGTGGTTTCACGGCTGTGCTTGTTGGTTTCGTGGATGTGTTTGTGTTTCCTGGTTGTTTGGCTTGTGTCTTTTGACTTGAGCTTCTTGTTTGCGAGAGGGGGGCGGCCAGTTGTTCAATCAGCAGACTCAATGGCAAAACAAAAGCACGCAAGGCCAACAATGCGGATGCAGGATCCACCTGGGGTAGGGGTGTTTTAGATCTTTAGGTTTCTTAAGGGTTTGTTCCTCGCTTTTCCCGAGGGTTTTTCCAGAGTTTGCGGTTTGTGTCACTCTCGCCGAGGATTTCTCCACATCGAGGACCCGGTGGAGCTGAGCCGCAACCTGCGGGACGCCCTGTGGCCGGGCCACGAGGAGCTGCTGAGGCACCAGCTGCAGCAGACCCACGGCATCTTCGTCCTCCAGGCCGAAAGCTCCAGGGCCTGCGGGGGCTGCGGGGCTGCGGGGGGGGGAGGGCTGCGGGGGGGGGAGGGCTGCGGGGGGAAGGGGCCCGCATTTTAGTCGTTCTTTAGATTGGTTGGGAAAAGTACATGTCAACACGAGGTGTTGATCATGACCGAAGCGTCTTCGATTCTTTCCACTTCCCCCAAGCACTAGACGCCAGTACAGGTATGTACCCGCTTTCCCTGGAAATAGTGTTGTGGGAGTAGTGGAAGCCGTCTTGGAACCTGGGTTCAACACCCAGGGAGGTGTGCGCCCCAATGCTGATTCAGAGCCATAGCAAGTGGAGCCATTGCTGGTCCTTAGTGGCCCGTAGTCGCTAGTAGCCTCTATTGGCTCTCAAGCAGTATGTGATGTGTGTGGGTGTGTGTTGTTTTCGTGGGGTGGGGAAGGGGGGGCGTGGTGTTCTTTTCACCTTTCCTCTACCTCATGATGCTTTGTCATTGTCGGGTTCTATGTCAATCTGGATGAAGTCCAAGTTGGGAGGAAAGCCACGTGCCCTGGGTCTCAGTGCCAGTGGGGAAGGTGCGGGAATGAGTTTGCGCCGATTGGGATACTTTGGGCTTTTTTCAAAGTTCGAAGGACACGAATGACATGAACCCAACTCTTGCATCAACCCCTGGAAAGAACCAAGATCAGTGTTATTTCAACTGGAAACCAAGTAGAACCCACCCCTTATATTTGGGGTCACCCCCAGCTGGAGACAAACCCAGGTCGCGGGGAGTGGCACGTCCAAGTGTTGCGTTTGTTTGGTACCCTCTTCGAGCTGGTTTGGAAGGCAAACTGTGGGTGTGTGGGTGGGTGGATGGGTGGGTGGGTGGGTGGGTGGGTGGGGGGGCGGGCGGGCGGGCGGGCGGGCGGGCGGGCGGGTGGGGCGCGCTTGTCTCTCTGTCTCTGTGTGTGTGTGTGCGTGTGTTTGCGGGTGCATGTCTGTAAGTGTGAGTGCGGGTGTACGCGCACGCGTGCCTGTGCTTGCGCGTTTTTGTGCGCATGTGCGTGTGCACGTGCGCTTTTGTTTGTGATACACTTTGTAAAAGGAAGTATCAATGATCGCTTTCCACGAGAAGCGTAAGCTACTAGCCAAGTTGCCATTAACCACACATTAGCCAAATCACCTTCAGTGGCAGGCCAAAGGAAGTTGTACCCGACTTTGGTTCCCCAGCAAGCGTCAAAATGGACGTCAAGAGGTTCGTGATGGCAACCGCAACCGCAGGCAAAGTCGATGCTGCCTGGAGCGCCGATGGAGGTGTAAAGTCAGCGGTGCAGTACAGTAGTTATTTTTCATCCACCCAGGGGCGGGGCCTCCAAGAAACATGCAAAGAGAGGGTTCTCAAAGCAGCAGAAGAAAAGGGGGTCCTCAATCCGCCACCTTTTTTAGGTTTCAGGCAGGCGGCGCTAGCGTTGAGTTGGAGCGCAAATGCGCTGAAGCGAAATTCGAGAATGCACTGGTAGCATGGAGCTGTGCGAGAGATTGTGTACAGAGTGGGCCTCGTGACATATCTGTTCGGCATGGGCATCGTGCGGGCGCGTGTCAATTCTGTCACGCTCCCCAGTGCAATTTTTCTTCTGCCGTTTGTCGGGCCCGGGTTTCTTCAGGACAGATCAGGCACGTTGCCTTCTCACTCATGCGGCCTTCTGACAGCTGAAGACTTTCAAAATGTCGGCCGGGCTTGGGGAAGGTGTGACGCGCTTGCGTTTGTTACGGCGCATAGCGTGATGCAACCCGAGAACTGTGGCTGGCTTCATAGAAGATGTGCATGTGCGCAGCAGCTTGATGCTACGCAGTCAGGGCCGGCCTGCTAATCAGTCAGTCCGTATCAATATCAGGAATTCTTTGTCAGATATGCTCAAAGAAGGGACAAAGGAACCAGTGAACCAAAACACAACGAACATTTTTCCCGCACGCGTCACGGCTAAAACAACTGATTGATTGCGGTCACCAGGGTCGAGAAGGCTGCTCTTGGGATTTGAGCTCCTGACCCACAAGGATTTGTCGACATGGTTGGGCGGTGATTGTCAGCATATCTCCATCAGAAAAGGCCCCCAAACTTCTGAATACTTTGGTTATGCCAGATTCCAGATGCATAGGAAGCTGAATCCAATAGGCTTCTGCCCCAGCTGTAAAAGCATGCTTTGCCTGTCCGCCCTGTTTGTATTCGTTTCGGGTAATGTGAAGTTCGCACTGACAAAAACAAGGGTTATTGCACTTTGTCCCACAATACCCGTGGCCCACTTCCACACAAATCCGCCACCATTTGCCTCCCTGCTGCAGGCTGGCAATTAATTGCTTTGTGTCAAAACAGGTGGACGCCCCAAGTTGTGCTTTTCCTATTGATGTTCGCTTTGCACCGAGGTGAAAATGGATTTCTTGTCCGTGTGCCTTCTACCTCACTTGCTTGTCCTTCCTGCCCAGAGTTTTGGTCCCATCAACTCAGGAACCCGCACCCCGCAGCCCGTGTTGAGGGACATTCTCGTGCCTGAGTCCCCATGTCAAAATGTGACCAGTCACATTCGAAGGATTCCTGTCAGGATCTCGGTTCCTTGGCCCGGCCCAGACTTCCATCAGGCGATGGCCTCCGGCCTGCCCACCATCAGCACCGGCTGGGGCGCGGAGCCGAAGCGACGCAGGGCGTGGAGGGGATTTTTTTCGCGACCCACAGAAGGCAGGCCAAGCTCTTGGGGGCTTTAACAGGGGCCAAAAAAGAGGAGAACTCGCTGCCTGTGCGACTAGCTGCGCGCTGCGAAGATGTGGCGGTGGGTCGAAACCAATGCTACCATTTTGGGGTAGGCGCACCACACAGTTTAGTCTATTTTAGTGGGGATTGGGATGTTCACGGGGGTTACGGGCTTTTGACTCATGGCCATGTGCCAGCCTGCAATCCTCCCTGTCCTTAAAGCAGAAAAGCGTAGAAGGAGCGCAAGTTGCCTGCCCTGTTTTGCCAAAGCGGACTGCGATCCCATCATGATCGGTCGACCTGAAATGCGGCTTGATTCGGTGGGCGGATGCATCCCATGAGGGAAGATTGCAACATTAGCAATCTACCTGAAATCCAAGGATGCTAAAATCCTGTCCCCAGTAGAAACAGACATTGGTTCAGAATTAGGTCGTGTTGCTGGGGATTGTTTTTTTTGAGTTGCTATTCGATGAAGTATTGCTGGAGCTTTCTTTTGAGATTGGAGTTGAGGGATTTCATTTAGCATCGCAGCTTTGGGATTTGATTTGAGGGATGTCCATTTGAGTGTTGCAGGAGCAGAGTAATTAAGGATCCACGAAGCAAGCAGCGCCATGACCCTTGATACCCTCCGCTGGATAAACAAGGAACCCAGCAAAAGCGTATCATGTTTGGAGGAACCCTTAAACCAGGTCGCTTTGGTAACTCGAATCCATCAAATCCCATCTCAAAAAGGAAGCTCCATCTTTGCAACAAATATCGGAGAAACTCACCTTTTTTTTGGACCCATACCGTCTCAGGAGTCTTCGCCGATGTGCTTTTTCTCCCAACGACACCGGCCGATTTGGCAGATCCTGCCAGGCGGGCAGATGGACTTCATGAGCCCCGAGAACTCCTGGCCCGTGAGTGGGGCGCCTACGTCGACGTGTGTGGGCCGCGCGTGCCTGCGGGGCCTTCGGTTGGGTGCGAGAAGGAAGGGAGGAGCCTGAAGATTGTTTCTTTGGGTCCCAAACAAAAACGCATGGCAAAGATGCAGCATAGGGAAAAGGTCCCACATGAAATGGGGAAATCGAAATGCTTGGTTGCCCTCAAGTGAGTCCAAGCTTGCAGGATTCTGCACCATTCAAAGAGGTTGCATCCCATCCGGCCAGTGGTTTAAAGTGTGAGCTTTCACGAGTTGGAAGCGTGTGAATGGGCCCGAGTTGCCGAGTTGCCCCGGGGCCGCGTGCAAACCGGGGGGGGAATAACAACAACAAAGAAAAACACATATTTTGTCCTTGTTCGCCCTGATCACATGGTTCAACCCAAGTGTCCTTCACAAAAACCGCCAGCGACCCAGCGACCCAGCGACCTCCGTTGACCCAACGCGCCTCCGTCGAGCGCGTCCGACGCGCCGGCGGGGCCGAGACTACGAGCTGGTGGAGTCGCAGCCGGGCGCTGGGCGCTGGGCGGAGCCGGACCGCACGGTGCTGCAGGAGGTGGAGGGCGCAGGGGGCTGGAGGGCTGGGCAAGGGAAGGGGGGGCTGGTTGGCCCGAGGCAGGGGGCATTTTGTTTGTTGTTTTGTTTTTCGTTGGTTGGGTGGGGTTGGGTGGGGTTGGGTGGGGTTGGGTGGGGTTGGGTGGGGTTGGGTGGGGTTGGGTGGGGTTGGGTGGGGTTGGGTGGGGGGGGGGGCTGGAGGTCTTGGATTCCGGGGAAGTTGCTTCTTCATTATTGTTGCGGAGGATGTGGCCACTTTTTGGCTGGCTTCGAAGTTTAGTTTCCTTGGCGAGATGTTTTGCAAGGGGCAGAGGAAACCTTGGGGGAAAGAGGCCGTTTCTTGTTTGTCCGCCATTTCCCAGCCATTCATTCACATAACACACCTCAAGCCGCAGAGGGGGTTGGTTTGCACCCAGACTCTGCAGGCCACGCCATGCATCTGTCAGGAATCATGCCACTGCTTCCTCATCCCAGCATGGCACACCTGAGGGAGAGGCAGAATTAGGACTTCAAGATCAGTTCGCATAGGGAGCCTCTGCGTGGTTGGAAGATGCCTCCAGCATCTTTGCTCGCATGCGCAGCCGGCTTGGCTCCGATTGGGACGCGCCTGCCACGCTACCGTTGACAGGAGCTTTCGCTGTGATGTGTTGTTTCCGGTAGTTTCATGCTCACGAGCCACTCGCCACCCAGGGCAACGAGCCAACCGAAGCCAACCGAAGCCAACCGAAGCCAACCGAAGCCAACCGAAGCCAACGGACCCTGCGGATTTCATCGCAGTTGAAGCGGGCGTCCCATCGCCGGCATGGGCGCGTCGCTGCGGAGGGAGGCAGATGCTGCGCCAAGCCGGCGCCGGGAATTCCCGCGGCGGATCAAGGCGCGGATGCGGACGTCTGCGGGGCTCGCGGTTGCTCTGCGTTGTGAGTTCCGCAAGGAGAAGCCACCGGGGGATTTTCGGGCTGTCCTCCTGTGAAGCTTGATTTGAAGCACCGCGCAAGAAATTGGCCCTCGCAAACATCCAGGAAGGTTCCCGGATTCGTTCGGATTTTGTCTGGGGGAAAAATCCTGGAACTTCGCCGGCCTTGGAGCATTTGATGCAGATCGGATCAACTCTTGGGGTTCTTTTAGACTTCTGAAAAAGTAACTTCTCGGTTCAGGGTTCATTGAAGGTTGACCAAGACAGCCAGCTCATTCAATGCCACCCACAAGGTCGACCGCCAGATCAACTCCACCAATAGTGGTCTGCGCTTTCATTGTCCTGGGTGAAAGGCATGGGGGATCCCAACCCGTACTGGGACACCACTACAACAAGGGAAACCAGTACCATGAGGTGTTTTTTTGCAAATGCTTGGTCAAACAAAGTCTCCCCCCCACAGAACGACTCCTCTAGCAACATGTTTTGATTCATCATCCGGATGTCGGTTCCCTTGGAACGCTGGTTTACAGAAAACCATTTGCCAGGTTCCCCCATCTTGACACATGCCAGTTTGCTCAATTCCAACATATTCCAACAGTCATGGAATGTTATGGGAGCATGGTTGGCGACCAACCATCCTCTTGTCAATCACAATCGGGGGCAAAAAAAGGTTTTCATGTTGGTTTCCCTTTAGCACCCCTCAAAAACGGTAAACTGAACAAAGACCTCTGCAATCAGTTGGATCCCAACCAAGCGACTTGCAGCGGTCCCTTTTCCGGCCATCTCCGGAGGGCTGCTTGGGCCTGGACCGCCGGGATGCGTTGCACCCCCTGGCGGAGCCGCTGGTGGCGCGGAAGAGGGGCAGCGCGGGGCGCCGGGCCTACCGGGCGTTGGTGGCCGAAGCGCAGGCGTGGTGTGGGGATGGGAAATGGTGGGGCGCGGATGAGCTCTCTTTGGCTTGGGGTGGAGTGGGAGGAGTGGGAGAAGTAGGAGAAGTAGGAGTGGAACTGGAGGGAGTGGCAAGGGACAAAAAGCTTTGGCGTGTCCGGCCTTCGGCCGGTGTGTCTGTCCGTCTGCCTGTCTGCCTGTCTGCCTGCCTGCCTGTCTGCCTGTCTGGCTGTGTTGGCTGGCCTCATGGCCTCAGGCCGGCGCGGTGCCTGGGGCGGTGATCCGCCAGATCCAGCTGGACGTGGCCAGGACCTTCCCGGCCATCCCGGCCAGCTCCGGCGCTTGGGGCTGGCCCAACGAGTGCCCGGACCGCGAGGCAGCTGAGCCGCAAGAGATGACACACACACACACAGATGCTTAAGGTGAAGACACTTAAGTGACACATGCTTAAAGTGATGTAGAAATAAAAATGTGTATAGTCATCCGTATCTCTCTCTCTCTCTATACTTTTATTGCTTATTGATTTGTTTTATTTGTTTTATTTGTTTTATTTGTTTATTTATTTGTTTATGTATTTATTTATTTATTTATTTATTTATTTATTTGTTTATGTATACATATAGATGTTTGTTTAAATAAGTATGTGCAAGCATAGATCCAACCAGGGCGGAAACTGTTTCCGTGCGGGTGAGCCGACACATGTTGCCCGCACCGGCGCACCTTTTGCTCCTTCGCCGTGAATTGCTGGCAATTCCCGCTTGTTTCACAGCCCGTTACTTGAAGAACCACAGCCTTCTCTTTCCCAAAGCTTGCGGATGGCTGCAGCAAGCAGCCAAGATATCACTGAGGGTGCACGTGATTGGGAGCTAGCGCGCATCATGTTTTTGCCCACCACTCGATTGTTCTTAGCGGAAGACGTGGAGGGTCAGATCGTGTCACTGCCACAAGCGCCATCATGTCTGATTATTTCTGCTGATGGATGCTGCAACTACACAGGCGGGTCTGCCATTTTTTACCTCAGTCTTGTGCGGGTATCAAACCCTTCCGTCCACTCCATGTGTGTGTGTGTGCCCTTTCAGCCTGCCCTTTCAGCCTTACGCGGGGCCTGGCAAAGAAGGGGCGCGTGAATGCCTGTGCTTGCAGCGCTCTCCTTGGCTATTGTGGTGAAGCGGAGCCTACTTTGGAACACATCAATCCTGTCGCATCGGTTTGCCATGGCTTGAGATCAAGCGAAGCTTTCGGCAAACTCCATTTATGCAGTAGCAGGTAGTCCTGCTGCTTGCAAAGACAACAGCGTTGTGCCCGGCAACGATGGGTGTCGTGCTGCGCTTGGTCGCGCCACGATGGGTTTTACCATGGCCGCCAGGGTTCGACCCGGGGTTGCCGGCTGCATTTGGCACGACGGTTTGGGGGCAGCTCAGCCCAGTCCTTGAGATTCACTTTGGGCTGGTCGGGGACATTTTGGTGGTACACAACAGGGCTCCTTGAAAGATCCACTTTACAACCATTTGAAACATGGCTTTTTCCACCAAAATAAAGCTGGAAACCACCATTTACAAGGCAATGTTCAGGAATGCAAGGATCCCTGCACAAGTTTGGACTCTTTTGGGTCAATCTCGGGAAGCGAGGCCCGGCTTGCGCGGGTGTTGATGGCCTTTGAGTGCCGCGCGCTGGATTCATTGGGGAAGCCAAGGCTGCCTGGCGCTGTGGGGGGGGGGGGGGTTGTGAAGGGGCGTGTGGCGTTGGATTCTGGTTCCGAAGTGCCAAGTTGATTGTCTTTTTGATGGCGCTCGCCCCGTTTCTTGGCAAAGTTTGCCCAGGATGTTGGCTAGGAGTGTGGTCGGTTCCTCAACATGGCAGGAGCCGGTAAGTTGGGGTTGAGGAGAGAGGAGGATAGGCCCGCTCATGCAGCCTGGATGCCGAGTCCTTTTGCAAACAAATGCGCCATCTGAGGCAAGGTTCGACCTGGATGCGGCCGACAACAGGTGAATTGCCAAACAATTCCACCCAATTCATTTTAGATGCCCAAAGCTGGCCTGATGACGTCCAGCCGGTGTGTGGTAAGATGCGTGGCGATGGCGCCCCCCCCAAAAAACAAAATAGAATAAACATAAATAAATAACAACAACGACAACAACATCTCATTTCCCCGTGCCTGAAAATGACCCGAATTCTGAAGCAGCGTGATATTCTTAAGTTGTACTTGCTGAAAAGCCATTGGCGACCTCCACCCCCATCCCCCTCCCCCTCCCCCCAACCCTCCCCTCCCCAACTCCCAATTCCCAACCCCCATCGCCCCACCCACACTCCCCACCCCCACCCCCATCCCAACCCCCCCACCCCAACTCCACACTCCCCACCCCCGCCCCACTCCGAGGAGCGGCCTGCCAATGCTCCTGAAGATCCGCAGGTCCTGGTGCGGCTTCGAGGAGTCGGAGCCCTTGGTGGAGCCCCAAACCCCGGCGCGCCAGGTGCGCGGTTTTGGGGGGGGGGGAGGCGGAGGGAGCGGAGCGCGACGCGTGGGAAACCCCCGGTGTTGAACAGTTGAGCCATCCTCGGTTTTGGGTGCACAATGGGAATCCGGTTGGAGAGTTTCGTTTTTTCGGACATGTACTTAGGCGGAATGAGCATTGTGAACTTGCTTTGAATTTGAAAGGGGGAGAGGAAACCAACCATGTTTATAGGGTCCTTATCCTGGGACATCACTCATCCCCCCCCCCAAAAAAAAAAGAAGTTCATCGAGCTTTATTTGTGCAAGCCGCTCCAAAGACAAAGCACACGTCAATTCGCCAAGTCGAGGCTTTTTGGACGCGGTTGGACCCCAGCGGCACCCGCGTTATCACCCATGAACCTCTTCAAAAAGGTTGAGGACGCAGATCCCCAGGGAGCGGGAAGGGATACACCCAGGTCAAAGGAGTGTTTCTCCAAATGCTGGAAAAAGAAAGCCCCTGAAACCAAAAACAAACCAACTGTGTTTAGGGGAGCAATTCCCATTTGCCTAAACACCCACATCCACAGAGCGTGCCCAACCGCAGAGGCTCCTTTTCTTTGGCGGAGAACGTTCGGACATGACGTGGCCTCCCAGCAACCAGTTTTGGGAGGGCTAGCTTTGACCCCCGAGTTCAGGTAACTCGTAGTTGGTGGTTTGGATTGCTGGTTTGGATTTGGATTTGAGCCTCAGATACTTGTAGAGGGTAAATAAGGGAGTACTACTTCGCAACTTCTTGTGGAGGATAAATGGGCTTGCCACTTTTTGACCACCACACCTCCCAATCCAAGCCGCCGCAAAGCGCGTTGGGAGCTGACCCGTTTTTTTGAGGCTCAGTCTCTGGCGCCCAGCTGGACGGTGGACACCTGGCAAGTGGACCCCTCACCGGTCACCGAGCCTGTGCCCACCTATGTGCAGGGACCGGCCGCCCAGCCTGGGCGATTGGGCGCTTCGGTGTGTAGCACTTGGTGTTTGTGGATGGCCGGGATTTGCATGGCTCTTGGGAGATGGGGGAAAACAGCCCCGGCAAACCTCCAAACCACCAAGCTGCTCGCGGGGATTGTTGTGGGTCATTGTTGCCGGGTGGGTGGCGGATTGCACTGGAGCAGGTCGAAGGCCTTGCTTGGTGGATGGATGGCGGCTGTGCGCGGTGGCGGCCCCGCCGTTGTGCAATGTCTCCTTTGAGTGCTTCACGTAGAGCTCTGCTGGGGGGGGTGGGACACGGGGGACCGTTGGGGGGGGGGGGGTGGGGGTGCTTTTTTGACCCTTGCCTGCAGGATGCAGCATGATGGCGGCCATGTGCTTGGGCTTTACGGCGGGTGAGGAGGAGGAAGGGTTTTGGCTCTTCACCTACCTGCTTGAGGCGGGATGCTCCTGCAATGATTATGTCGGTTTCAGGTGCTGACGGAACTGATAAGTTGGACACCCATGAGAGCCGGCAAGTTTGAAAGGCAGCCACTGAGCAACTCGTGTCTTTCTATCGGAACTTTGGGGCAAGCCCACCTCGAAAGGAGTTGAGAAGGTCCTATCATCCCTTGAGAGTAGTCTCCAAACGGACAGCTTACCAAAGTGCTTCAGTTGTCGGTGTCCGCCATATGTCAGCTTGTGCCAAACGGGAGAACAGGTTTCCCACCGGGTTTCTCTTTGAAATTAGCAACCCCCATACAAGGAGGCCTGAAAAAAGAGCCGAACAGGTTTCATAGCTTGCAGCCTTCATACCCAAGACACCCTTAGCCCTTTAACGAGTCCATGAAGCGTGTGCTTCTGGAATTTGTTTCCTGGGCCTTGCCACAGTGGGTGACACCTCATGCCCCGCGGTTCGTCATCCATTCCACATTGAATGTTTGGCTTCTACAAAAAGGCGATCCTTTTCAGGCACCTCAGTTTTGAGACATGAGACGGGTGTGGATCTGAGTTGAGGCTGTATTTCCACCAGGCATTTTGGAAACACGGGAGAGGAACCAACCGGAAAGTCCGGGAGAGGACTGGGGACCACCCGCCCAAGACTTCAGGACGTGCTGGGGAGCGACTTCTTTTCCCGCAGCCCGGCGCTTTTGGGGTACCACGGGGACCGGGCCGCCTGCGCCCAGCTGGTGGCGACGCAGTGCCCGCGCCTGGCGCAGCGTCTGGGGGAAGCCGGGCTGGCGGCGCCTTGAACGCTGTGGGTGTGGGGGGGGGGGGTTGGGGTTGGGGGTTTGAGGGTTTGGTTTTGGGGGTGGGTGGGTTAGAGTTGGGGGGGTAGGGGGGGGGGTTAGGGGAGTTGGGGGGGGTGTGGAGTGGGTTAGGTGTCACCACTACCGGACTTGTCCCATGAACAGGACAGGAATCTTTGGCGAGGCAAAACATACCAGGCTTGTCAAATGCGGTTTGTGGGTTTGGGGGTTTGGGGCTTGGCATAGGTTGCGTCAGTTGTCCAACGCGATGGGGTGAGTTTGCATGACTTGTGGGTTTGGGTTGGCATGGTTGCAGGGGTAGGGTGGGGTTTTGATGGCTGACCCCGGTCTTCCTAAGGGAGTCCAGTGACTGCAGAACCTGTTGCAAAAGTGGTGCCCTTCAACCACGACCACCCGCTTGGTGGGAGGCCACAAATGCTTTCCGAGGAATGCGTGTCCGCGCTGGCTGCCAGGTGCCTGCTTTCCGGCTTTGCGGCGTGGCGAGCAAAGCCATGCGTAGGGTATCCCTGACCACCCCAAGCAGGGGGTGCAAACCTCACGGAAGCTTGTGGGTATTGAGGGGGGCGGCAAATCCCTTTGAGGAGGTTTCCAGCAGCATTGTGACACCTTCGCGGGGGCCACGTTGTTGCACACGGGCTTGCCGTGACACGTGTGTTGTCAATGTTATGTCCTCTTTTTTTTTTTTGCGCTTTTGGTACATGAATTCCGGGGGGCAACTCCTTCGCCATTGGTGAGGTGGGCTTCCTATCGGGCCCAGTGCTGGTGGCCTTCTGGGAGGAGCCTTCGGGCAGATTGCAGACATGTCGCCTCGCAGAGCTTTTCTTTTGGGGGCAACGTCTCAGCCTGCATTGGAACGGTTTGTGTTCTGGGCGGCCTCATGATGCAGTAACCGCCACAATTGCCGTTGGCTCCTGGCTCCTGGCTCGTGTAGCTGAAACTATCAATTAGCTTGCGCCGAGTCTTCGAAAGCATGCTGCAAGATGCTTGTTTTTTTTTGCCAAGAACTTTCCTTCTTTCTCGGTGACCGCGAAAACCCGGGGCCTTTTGCCTTTACCCGCAGATATCCATGGGGGTCTGCACTATGGTGAGCCCATAGGTGTCCTTTTAGGTTAGTTTGGCTTAAACATAGATGGGTTCCACTGGTTTAGATGGGGCTCATTCCGTTTACCAGGGCCATCAATTTTTCCAAACGGCCACCTACTGTGGATGGACGAAATCCTGCACCACCCAAGAAACCCTGGAAGGATGATCCTCCCGGAAATACCAACGAACAATGCTTTCCCCATGGTTTGAAAGAGGTTCAGGATTCCGTCCATCCACAACCTGTGGGTGAGCCGCCTTTATTCGTTTCAACCTCTACAGCTTTGCAAAGTTGGTGTGCGCGAGGAGCTTCTGCAGATGCCTTGCGCAGACTTCCCCCGGCTGCCTCTGCTGCTGTGGCTGGCGGGCTTGGTGCAGCACGTGGAAAGGGCGCTGCTGCTTGAGGCAGGGTCTCCGGGCCTCGGGGTGGGGCCAAGGCTTTTCAAACGCAACGGAAATCAAACAGTATGCTGTGATGTTAGAGGCTATGTTGTTAGATGAGGATGAACGGCTTGGCTGCTGCTTTGTTTTGTGGGTGTCTTTATCTTATTATGCTTGTTATTTGCATTTGTTTTTCCAGGGTGCCCGTCGTGGGGGCATTTGCAAGGGACATTAGAGGAAACTGCTCTTTTTAGGAGGTCCCCGAGTTTTGAGACAACTCCATCAATTGCGTGCAGATGTCGGTTCTGCAAAATGACCTCCTGATGTGCATATCACGGGACCAACGCATCAAACAGTGGATTTGGTTAAGTTCCGTGGTTGTGGAAAATGTGGGTTTTAGAGAACCCTCCTCCTATTTTGCTGATATTCCCATGTCATTTTCCCTTAACTGGTTCTATGTACGGTCAGGCGATCTGTTAGAATGCACCCACCGAAAGGTACAAGTGTATTGGGAATTGTCCAACCCAAGTCTTTGCGTTGCCAGTTTGTGTGTGTGTGTGTGCGTGTTTTTTTTTTTTGGGGGGGCATTCTCCACAGCAGGGTCAATCGACCTCTGGTGAAGTACCTTGCCGGGATTCTGAGTTTGAACGTTTTGGCTTTTGGGGCCAGGCAAGGGATAGGCCAACATTGCGGGTTGCCACTTTGGACCTTGACCTCTCATTTTTGGTGCCACAGAAAGGCTCCGCGGACCGGCCATGGGGCAAAGTGGTGGCCCCAAAAACAGATTCAGTTCAACAGCTCCATGGAATTGTCACCATCGAGGTCCATGGAAGAGGACGGCCTCTTTTCTTTTTGTTTGCGTGTGTGTGTGTTGCAAAAGAGGTAGGTCGTATCAAAGTCGGATTGCACTTTCACCAGCCTCGCAACTTGTCCATCAATAAAGCCCTTGAAGAGATTGAACTTGTCATGAGGAGTGCTTCTGTAGCTGGCCCAATTCGTGGAGGAGAATCCAATAGGAACCCAAGCCAACCAGGACTTAAAAACTAAGGGCAGCAACACAAATACACACTTGGAGTATGGGGGAAAAAACACCGTGATTCCCTCAAAGCCATCGGATAAAAAAAGATGCAGCAGAGCACAATTCTGTGGGAAGCAGTGCGTGCGCAGAGCGCGCCTTTGAAGGCGGCTCACCTCTCCAGCGATGAGATGGTGCCATGCTTCTTTCGCGTGGCTCCCTGCCATGGATTTGAAGGGGGTGATGCCGCATGGATCCACGGATCCTGAGGCTTCCTGGTATTTCCTTCATTCTTTTGGGCGGCTGGATTCACAGTTTCCCTTTTGGCCTGCCCCCCCCCACTCCCCCGTTTCTGCACCAATGAGGGGCTGCCCCTTCTTTTTTCGGAGGGGGGGGTGGTTGGTCAACCCCTTGCAGGTTTGCTTTGCAGAGAGAAAGGGCGCCGCCCCCCCCTCTGGCCTGTACCAAACCCTGCTTGAAACACGGAGTTAGTTGGCTAGCCCCAGAATCGCCTTGCTTGTGCAACCCAAAGGGTACATACACAAGTTACTCGACAACGCGCTATCCCCAGGTGTGCTTTGAAGCGGATGTCAGTCAATTTGGGTGAGGCAGCCCGAAACCTGTTGTGCGGAGCGCGGACTGCTGGAGCGTAAGGAAGGAGAAAAAAAAAGGAGGCGAGAGGCAAACACTTCGGCGAAGCCTCGCTTGGCCGGGCTGCTGGGAGTCTCAGGTCTGGTCTGTCACTGTCGGATCCCTGGTCGCATTTTTGGCGGCAGTCGCAGCTGTCAGGGTCAGCTCTGTCAATGGTGATCGAACCGGACGCTGAGGACATATGTCAGTATTGCTTGAATTTTTACAGCCCCAAGCTTGGGGGGACTCCTTCAGGTTGTAGAGGGAAGCCAGGGGGGGGGAATAGGGGGCTCCGGGTAGAGACGGAAACAAAGGGAAGCCACTACATACCTCCTAACCCCAAAAAGGAATGAATTTTCATGAATTTTCCTTACCCAAACAGAAGACTCCTAACCCTCAAAAAGTCTGAATAGAAATGTTGGCTTCAACCAAACAGCCCGAAATTACGAAATCATCAAATCAGATTCCATTCGGGTCACCAAATCAGATTCCATTCAGGTCACCAAATCATCACATTCCCTTTCGGGTCACCAAAATCATCAGATCCCCAAGAAGCACAGCCTTTCCATTTTCCACCAGGCACCTGCGCTATGAGGCTATGAGGCAAAATGCCACAAAAAGCGTGAGAACTACTCACTGACTGTCAGATT